TGAGGAGGGTAAAATGGTGATGTTGGAGTTATTACAACTGGTGCAATTGTATTGGGCGATATAGTTAATTTAGAAGCTGCTTGAGCTTTTGCTTTTTTACGTTCTGATAATCTATAGATCTCTTCCGCAAAATTCCTATGAAAAACTTTATAATAAAGAAATATATGATGTTATAAATTGTAAACGGTTTATAATAGGCTATCAAAAATAAGATTGGATAATTTACATTTAACTAGCGTATCATGCAAAGGGCGCATTTCCATGGAAACAAGACGTTCATGAATATCTAAACATCTATCAATAATGAAGACCTAACATATCAAAAACAAAAATTATAAATAGAATATCTCTGAAAATCCAAATGTCATATACAAATGAATAACCAAACCTGTTCTTCAATTGCCTCCTTTAAAGCATTTACAAATGATTCCTTATCTGGATTAGATGTTAAAAAGTCTGAACTGAAAAATGCTTTTTTATACATTGGCACACCACCATTAACAGGTGCATCCACAGCACCATTTAAAGACATTGATAAAGGATTGGTATTAATTTTATCTACAACTTTTGATGAAGTGATATATGCATTATATTTAGCTTCAAGAGTTAACAATTCCCGATTTTTCGCTTTCATGGCAGCAACAGCATTTTCTATCGGTGATACTTCAGTAACAGTAACTTGAATAACTTCTGAACGTCTAAGTACAGTGGGAAAATGATCCTCAGTGACCAATATAGTTTTTTCGGTCCACAAGTCCAAAAATTCATTAGTTGATTTCACACCATCTGGGTTTTTGTTAACAGGTCGTGAAAAACTAAAAGTATTTATTGAATTGTGTTCGTAATATGAACGAATAGCTGATGGTACACTCCCTTTAAAAACGGGTGCATTTCTATCAGGTTCTGGCATCACGGCAGTTACTTGTATAAATTGACCATCTCCATGAAGAATTTCATCGGTTGGAGTACTATTATATTTTAATAGTTGAGCTTGAGGATGTTTATTTTGCATTCTTTCACAAAATGCACCAATTTTTTCCCATTCATATCCTCGATAAATAAATTGTCGATTTTGTAGACTTGCAGGAAATCCTCGGCCATAAAACCCTACCCGAAAATATTCACTAAAATATCGTTCTTTCTTTATAATATTTTCGTGTAATACCGCTTGCTGTTTAAGGATATTACTTAAACGTTGAAAGTCATACGTAGTGAATTCAAATTGATAGGCCAATTCCTTACATAATTCTATCCCGCATTCCCATGCTTTACCTTTAACAAAATAATCCAAAATTTGAATATATAACCGCTCTTTTCGATCAAATGGCGTTTGTTTCGGAAAGTTCAGATCAGGTAATGCTTCCACTTCATGATTGGGATCCCAATCGTACAAATCTGAATGTAACTTAAGAGTCAAGGCAGCCTCTACATAGTTATGATAATTAAATTGCATTTGAACAAGTTGGTGAACATATTTGATATAAATTTGATCTCTGTCAATGGACTTTATAAATTTCATCAATTTGAGGGTACACATTATTCGATCATCCTGGAATTCTTCACCATCAGGTAATTCGCGGACACCAAGTAATAGTTCCAAAAATTCACTAAGAGAGTCTAAGAATTTCATGACAGTTTCTCGCAATGAAGTATCAACTGATGCCTCTTCAAATAATTTACGTAATTGTGCAATAAAATATGTATGAGAGATTTCATCACCTTTATTTTCTGACATGAATAATTTGTCTAGAATGTCAATTATATCAGATTCCATCTGTTTGAAATCTTCATCTAGCGAATATTGTGTAACAATCATGCTAAACAACACTTTAATTGCAGCCGTGCGCAACTCATCATGATGAGATAAGCACAGTTCCAAAATTGGTCCAATTAAAGTATTAATGAATCGACTTTGATAGCCACCCATTTTACCCTCTTTTCCATGTTCCCATCCTATGGCATCCCATAGAGTTGATAATAATTTTGCTCCTTGTCCACGAAGATCTCTAGCCAATCTCCATATAGCACGACGTTTCTGTGGGGTAAAATTTTCAATTACTAAATGTTTACTGGTAAGCAAACTTAATAAGCAATTGAAATATTCTCGCCACAACTGTTCATTAAATGTATCTGGTGCCTCTTTGTCTGGAATATAATTCTTCTCTAATAAAGAAGATATTGGTTCGAGAAATTTCAAAAACACTTTATGAGCCATTATATTCATATTCAACCAAGATTCTGGGAAAGCTTCATTTAACAAAACGGATCTACAAACTTGGAATAATAAAATTAAAAATTCTGCAGTGGCATCATGTCCTTCCCTATAATATGTTGAGAGTAGATGCTCTTTCAGATGATCTTGTGATAATAGATACATAATTTGCAATATCACAGCAGCTATTTCTCCCAATCCAGTATTAATTGAGCTTTGCGGATTAAGAAAAGGACTAAATTGAAGATCTTTTGAATATTTGTTTGATCCATTTATATAAGTCGGAGTTACACTGGAAAATGGATATGCTAAATTAAATATGGCCGGTGATACCATTACACCACTTCCGGTCCTCTCTCTTGGTGGGTGAACTTCATTACTAGCAAAATACAATTCTCTATATGATTCACAAAGTTTCATCATGAGAGGGAGAATCACGCGTACATTTTCAATCTCTTTCTGTATACCATTATCTTCTTTAGTTTTTTCAATAGAACATTGTAAGCTTTCGAGCATAACCGCAATAATGGCCACACATAATCGAATTCCATCCTGCCATTGCATTCGCGCAGCTTCATTATCATCATTTATTTTTCCCGTTTTTTCCCATTTACCCATATGATCTGTAACCCATTCTGTGACTCTACGCAAAAGTGTTGCACGAGACTCTGCGTTTTCAAACAGAGGACCACGGCAAAACTGAAGAATAACCAATAATTTATATGCCAATAGTTTTCCTTTGGGCAATCTCACCGATTCAGTAAAACGGATAGCAATTTGTACGAGGTCTGCTGGATCGAAACATTTTCCAAGATCCACGAATATAGAAGCAAAATGTTGCAAAGCTAACGTTTGTGTTCCGATTATTGATTGCGGCGTTGTGATGGACATAAGTCTATCTATGCTCTTGAAAAGGTCATGTAATCCTTTTTTAAATTGTTCTTCAACATAATCACCCGATAGTCCCATATTTGTTTCCTTTGCTCGTTGCAATTCTCTGGATCGTACTATTATTTTAAAAATATATTGCCATACTTTTATAGCTGAGCGTAAGTTTTGAGCATTCTCTGGAGTTGCGGGATCAGAAACAAGACGATTCATTGAACGAATCAAACTCGATGAAGCAGGTGCGCAAGAAAAATGTTTTTCAATATATACATCAAGCACAGGTCTAAAGTTCATAAACCTTCGGTCAGAAACAATTCCAAGAATAGTTACTAAGGCATTAAATATCAAGTCATCAAGTTCACCTTGTTGATTTATTGTTGAAACTAAAATTCCAAATAATGCATCAAAAATATCCTGAAGAAACTTGACTATTTCAACTTCACCAACAAAAGTGAATTTCTTCAGTACAGACATCATTTCATTCATATCTGATACTAATTGTTTTTCCCAATTCAATAATTTGAGAAGGACTTCGTTTTGTGTGTACTTTGTCGAACATAAAAACGTCTTAATTGAAATAATATCTTTGGAAGATGGCGTTAATTTATGCGTTGAATGTGAGTTTGAAACCGAATGTATTGAAGCAGAATCTGATGCTGTAGCAGAAGGAGACCATGGTGCATTTAGATATATGGATGGGTTTATCATTTGTTTATCATATCTATATAAAACAATATTATGTTTTCCGTCACTAATGAATGCTTGATTTTCTTGAAACAAAGGCATATATGCAAAAGCAAAAATTTTATCTTCTTTTTTATCTTTTGTTGAACGATGGCGAAAAGTCATAAATATATGTGCTTTTTCAAATAACTCTATAGGGATGTCCAGTTTAATAAGCTCACTCCATGTGGGATTATTAGAATGGTAAAAAACTAAGGAATCGAAATGTGTAATCAGAGGTTCACCAGAACCCTGAGAGATTGCATTCTCTAACGTTTCGCCTGTGTTTAACTTGACTTCAACCGTAATTTGTATATTTCTTGAAGTAGCAGCTCGTCCTTGTGTAAAATCTCCAGACAAAAACCTAATGTAAATTTCGTTTCGTGTATCTCCGGGGAATACAACATCTGCAAAACCAAGACGTGATGTGATAGGAATATCTTGAAGTAAAGCAGTATTTTCTTTTATTATAGTAGCGGTCTCTCCATAATAAGGACGAATGGAAACACTAATCATTTCAGCTCTTGGAGATCTTTCGAATTCTTTGATACGGTTATGGATTATATCTTCGTGAAGAGTAGCGAATGTTGATTCTTGGACAGGAACATATATTTGCATTACATGTTCACTAAATGTCTCTTTTTCTTTACCTTGAAGAAGATGACTAATTTCGAGAACAGCACAACCAAAAGGTCGGCGAAATGTCTGAGGTGAGGATTTAATAGAGTATAATGACTGTTGATCCGAATTATCCGAAGTTTTTGAAAATTTTAATGATGTCATCGCACCGGTTTCCTTAGGTAGATCTTTATCAACCATTTTCATACTTCCAGTTCTTACTATTCTACAGAGTAAATAAATTTGTTCTTGAATATCATGAGGAGAAAGGTCAGTAAAAAGAGTCCTAATTTTTCCAATTTTTGCTTCATCCTTCGGTACACCGTTATGATTTAGCACAATTAAGTATTCCTCTGTTATAAATCGAGAATCGGCTTTAGTATATAATGAAAAATACAATTCGGTGAATTCACCAGGAGAAGATATTGACGCAACCCAAGCTTTCAAATCCAAAAAAACGTGATAGAACTTTGGAGTATGACTACTTGAGTCAGTTGATGTAGGATTATGTAAAGATTGTAAAGGGCCCGTTATGGTGGGGCTCATTAGTAGGGAATCAGATTTTGCTTTATCCATGTTTAAAAGTGACAATTGAGCTTGTAACTGATAAAGACGAATGGCAGATATATTTGTTTCATCAGCCAGGAAACCTCTTTCTGGATCTCTTACAATAATATCTAAATCTTGAATTAAGTTACCAGCAACAAGTTTATTAATAAGTTCTTTTCTCAATTTACTCAGTTCGTCTTGAGATAGAGTTTGAGCAAGTAATTGCCTACGTCCTTGTAATAAATCATTTATTTGATCTTTAACAGTTCTAAACATTGAATATTTTCGTTCATCTAAATATTTAGGTAATAGACTACTCCATTCTCTAACAGTACTAGCTATTTCATCAACCAGTGGTTCAGTTTTCCCACTGATAGTATCATCGCCACATTCAAGAGATGGTAAAGGTGGAGGCGGACGAGTATTTTTTTCACTATTAGAAGAAGCCGCATCATTACTTTTTAGTTCAGCCGCTTGTAATTCAACATAATCAAGATATTCTTTAATATAAACATGATTAACAGGAAAAATCCCAACATAAACTTGAGGTTCCTCGGTTTGACGTAATTGAGAAACAACATAACCACGATACCATGCACCCTGTTCCTCAAAAACATAGACTTCATCACCTATTTCGAGTGTAACTTGATATGAAGTAATCGGAGAATTTGAAATTGCAATTGAATTAGTGGAAGAAATTGATGTAGCATCAGAAATAGTAACACCATCAGATACTGGTTCATCTTTTGTTGAATCTGAAGAATTATTCCGTGAGCCAGGGGTAAAAGGATAGATCGCAAAGCCATAACCAAACTTTGGTAAAGGAATCCAATTTGCACTTTCAGAGTTTTCAGTCATTTTAATGATATGAATTTGAAAGTTTAATCGGTTTTAAAAAGAAGGAAAGGTATGTTAAAAAGGAATCTTTAGACCTATAATAGATCGGTTCATGAACGATCCTGGTTGCGTTATATCATGAGAAACACACTAAACCTATTTTTTAGATCCACGTAATCAAATTAAGAACGAATTAATTGATGAGTAAAAGAAATTCGATTTGTTTAGACAATTTATAAAAAAAATAAAATAAAATTTAAACATTTACTTGAAAGAATGTTTTGAACCACCCAGATTTTCAAGTGATGAAAAAGATAATTAGTTTGAAGGCTTGCAAAATGGCAAGATTTAAAGATAAACTAAAAAAAAAAATCCAAAATTTAATAGATTAGTGAAAGGCTTTTGACAGTTAAACAAACTATACATGCAGACTTAATCAAAAATCGAATGATAACTGCATGACTAAAGCATGTACCTATGTTCAACAAGATAAAATACAAATGTGTGTTCTCGATATTCTGGTCGAAAAAAAGAGCCGATGAAAATAAAAGAAATGAAGAATTGTGCCACCTTACTAAATTAATTTACCATTACACAACGCAATACGATGCAATGCAAATTTCCACACAAATTTGTTAATCATAGCACACAAATTATGATACGCAATAATGTATGCACAGGTTATACTGTATATACTTAATGATCAAAAAACGTGGACATTCTTCTAGACGCAGAAGAATATTAACAATTTCAAAACGTGCTATCGATATAACAAATGTATTAAGCCGAAATTTATACGAAGAAACCAACCAAGTCCAAAGTTGTACAAGAGCCACCTTGAACTTTTTATAATGTTAACAAATCGAGATGCGCACAGATCGAAATATACAAAGGGTGTCGGTATGAGCATAGATTTTGCGTATCTGTTATATAATTATGTATGCTTTAAGAATATATTGGGAGGTCAAAAGTAGAAACAAGGAACACAGCAATTTTCGATAATTTAAAATCGATAAGAAACCTTAAATCAAAAGTTTCTTCCCAATTTTAACAATTTTAAGACATTGACTGTTAAAGTTTAGGTATTAATTTTTTTTTACAAAATCAAATTCCTTGGTTCTACTTTTGACCGCACATATTACGTAACTAAATTTTTGGTTTCTTATTACAACGCGCCATTTTTAACCAAAAGAGAATTATAAAAATCAAAAATTTCTTCTCTTGACCAGATAAATAAGTTATAATTTTGAAATTTAGTTAAACTATCCTGGAAGATCGACTTTTAAGTTACAGTAATTTTACGACCTGGTCAGTCATGCTTTTAGAGGGTTCTATTAAATTTATTAAATAAACTCTCCAGTCATATAATCTTCCTAAACATGTAATCTATCAATTATGTCGCGGATTATGGTGAAATTTGACCTATTCTAATATGTTTAAAACTTTTGAAGTGTATATTTTTTTAGTTAAGTTAGAATTTTGGGTTAGAGTTGTTTAGAAAGAATATAAGTAGATTTGGTAGTATGTATATTTTCAGAGATTTCAAATTTCACCATAATGAAAATCTAAGTTTGTGAAACACTTATTTTTCGTCCACATAAGAGAAATGTATCTCATCGGTTCGAAGGGTTTCTTAGGAGTTTTGGCGCCGAGGACTCCCTAACCTATCTCTTCCGCATTCGATACTGGGAATGTGTTGTTTCACAAAAGCTTTTGCATTTCTTCTGTAGTTACGTTCAAAGTTTCGGCCAAAAAATCAAAGGAAATAAATTTCCATAGTTCTACTCATGAAGAATTCAGGGGAGAAAACATGCGTTTCAAAAATGAGTTGGCTCAGATAAGCTTACCCTATGCCCCGTGTAAGCTTATTTGCCTCGTTATGCAAGATAAGCCTAAATAGTCAAGAAGAAATAAAAAAGCTGAAATTACACAATAAGAAAAGGCAAACAAAGCAAATATAGAAAAGATAAATAGATATATGATAATAATAGAAGACAAAACCAAAGAAAAAAAAATAGATTTCTTATACAAAAGGAATATAGAGAAACTAAAAGATAAATTAACAAAAGAAGATATAGGTGTTTCTTTTTAAAAAAGTATCTAGGTATTTAATAAAGATAGATATGAAAGAAAGAAAAATATAAAAGGCTAAAGTAGTAGTAGTTAAGATATTAGAAGACAATGTAGAATACAGGAAAAGATCTTTGAAGTAGTTGATAGAAAGGAATCTATATGTAAGAGATATAAGCAAAAAATTTAAAAAACAAAACCTTTGGTATATTGTTAATTTCTGTTATAGAAAAGGTTATAAAAAAGTAAAAAAGATATTAGAAAACAAGAAGGAAGAATATGAATAAGTAAAATTTATAATAGAAAAAAATATAAAAGAAGAAATCAATAATATATTGCAAGAAAAATTAAAGAAAGAAGTAAAAAAAGGCCAAAAGAGAAAATCAAGTAGCAAAAGAGTTAAAAGAAGTTTTTAGATAAAAAGAAAGAAAAACAAAATAATTTTAGAATAGTAAGAATTTATAAGAAAGAGTAAAAAAGATAGAAAGTAAAAAGATAAAATAACACTAGAACTAGAGAAAAATAATAATAAAACAATAATTTAGAACTTGTTAAGTTAGATAAAAAGAATATAGGTTTTTGAGATAGTATAAGATTCTTTTAATTTAGTTAGCTACCAAGCTAAGTTGGTATTGTTAATTCTTTTTATAAAACAAACTTACTTGTATTTAACTTGATCTATATTTTTAGAGTGATAGTTTCTTTTCTAGATTAAGTATTAGCTAGTATGACTATTGAAAGCTATACTACTTCACCAATTTAGAATTTCTACTATACAGGTCCTCTACCCATAGATCTTATTAAGATTTATTCATACAATATTATATTATACTCCTAATATTCAGATGATATTAGTACAATGAGATTTACAGAATTACAACTCTAGAAATGAACAGAGTTTACTGTAAGTTAGGTATAAAGATCTAGGTAATTATTCAAATTCATCGACAGTAGAATTTGAACTTTAGATTTCTTGTATAGTAGTCTAGCAACCTAACTACTATATCAGACCTTACTAGAAGTTTATTATAATATAATAAGCTATTATATATTTAACAAAATAACTAAATTATTATTGAATATTAGAGATATTTGCAAATAAGTATATTTTGTATTTATAATTTTTTTTAAACTTAGATGATCTTATCTATCATTTTATTAAGAAAAAGCTAATATAAGCTACAAAGTAAAATTCTATACTATCTATAACAAATACTCTTCTAAAACTATTCAAGACTTATTTGGCTACCTTTAGGTATCTAAGTACAATCTGCTATAGTAACTGTTTCTCTTATAGAAGCTTATATCTGTATAGTATTTATAATTTTTACTATCTAGTTTTGAATAAGGTTATATATTTAAGTTATGATTCTTATAAGATGCTTTTTATATTCTTTTGTTTTTGTTTTTATCTTGTTGTTTTTCTTTTTAGCTAGTTAGGTTTTTAATTTATTAATAAGTTTTTTTAACTTTGCTTTAAATATTATATATAGTATATAGCCTTGCTTTTTACTATATATAACAATTTTATTTTATTTTTTTTCCTTTGACAATCAAGTCATAAACTTTATTAAACTGTTAACTAAGGCTTTAGCCAAGTTACATGATTATATAATCTACTTAACTTACTAAGTTTGACATCACCTAGCTGCTACTAGAGTATTCAGATGCAACCTGTTATACTAATTAAAAAGCTAGAACAATTAGTCTAACTGTATAAAAAAAAACTCCACTAACTTATTTCTCTCTCCTTAATTTCTTTTTTAATTACTTCTTTTACTAGTACTATTACCTATTCTTTCTTTCTTCCTTTTTCCTTTTTCCTTTCTGCAAGCAATACTTTCCTCCTTTCATCTACTTAGATTCTCATTTTCAGTATTTTTTCCTCTCCCTTATTTCTTTTTAGCTTTGTTATAATTCTTTTACTTTTTCCCAAATGATTACTTTTTTATATCACTAGTTCTATATGATCTTTGCAAAGCTTTTTTGGGCTATAAAAAAGATACTGTCCATTCAAGTTCTCATACTATCTTTCTTTTAAACTAATAATTGAATATCTTCTGCCATTTTCTTTTATTCAAGTCTAATTATTAGCTCCTTTCTTCTTTGAAAATGACTTTTCTTATCATTTGAAAAGATAATTATTTGAATTTTTTGTATAAGGTTAGAGCTACTAGCTTCTTCAGATTGGATCTTGCTAATACTTCCTATTATTACTTTTTTGATTTCTTCCTATGAATCTTATAACACTGAGCAACTTATCAAATAGTCAAGATCTTCTGAAATTTCTTCTTTGCATAGAATGCAGTAATTACTTTTATATAAAGATAGCTTCCTTTTCTTGAGCTCACTAAGTATTAGAAAACTGTTTAACAAGTACTTAATTTGCATAATAAGATTTTTGCTATCTTTATATTGATAAGCAATTTATTCCTTTCTGCTTTTTGATCTTCTGCTATAGCCTTTTCTAGTTATACTTTGAGCTTTTGGCTATATTATCCTTTCTTTAATATACCTACTCTGCATCTTTGTATCTTTTTGTTAGCTTAGATATGAATTGTTTAACTAAGCTCTCAATTCTATTCGATTTCTATACTATATCATAGCTAAAGTTTTCATTTTGAACTATATCTAAATCTAGTAAGAAGCTTGACTTTCTACCTTCTTTTGCTAATTAATCTGCTTTATTATTCTATTTGTTATTTGTATAGCTTTAAACCTTTTTGAGCTTTAGCTTAATGCTTTTTTGCTTAATAAGTGATGCAATTTTTTCTAGGATAATTCTGTTATCTATCCTAATTCATTTGCTATATTGTTCAATCTTATAAGCTTTGGTTATACTCTCTATTACTTGTTTACTATCTATGAGAACCTGAACTGTTATATCATATTATGCTAGTAATAAAACCACCCAAACTCCTATTAGCTCTGCTTTAGTTGATGTTAGCTAG